TCAAGCGAGGCCAGTAGGGCTAATTTAAATTTAAACAAAAGAATATTTATACGGCAACCATTTATGAAAGTGGTCTTTTGGTCGGGCCGGGGCTCGAACCCTCGACCTCCCGCACAACACAATCTGGCGCTCTGACCAAATGAGCTGACCGGGGGACGGTTTAGACTCAATATCCTGCATTTATCAATTTCCGTCAGCAAAATTCATCAAATTCAGACGCTGCGATCCGAATCTTTCTTCACCTACAGAAGCCAAATTGCACTATTTTCCATTCCTATGTCTCTTTTCGCCGCACAGTCGCTCTTCTACCATCATTGTTGTCATAATCATCATTGCCATTGTCATCGTTACTATCACCTTCTTCTTTCTTTCTCTAGAAAGTATCCTGGTAATGGCTGGTCACGTCTTTTAAATTTGAGCATACTATAAAACAATTTCTAAAGGGTGGGGCAGGATGGTAAGAGTTTGGCTTAACTTAGCCCCCCCCCCCTCCCCCACTGATCCTAACAAGCGGTGAACATTGTAACTTAAACCAAACACTGCTTGAAACATGTGCGCCGCGAATGTCAAGAAAGGTATTCAACTTATGCATTCATAAGGATTCAAGTTCTTGTACGCTGTGGACTGAAAGAGAAGAAACCTGACATACCGTAAACTGCCACTTGTAAGCCGTGGGCTTAGACAGCTTCGTGAGTGGTTCAGGAGGGCTTACAAACGTAGGGGCTTATATCAAAGGGGGCTCATAACCGGAATAGAAATAGCACTTCGAAATGAGCTAAAGCAGGGCTGATAAAAATATGTTTGGCATTCAGTGGTTTTAAATGAAGCTTTAAGACGTCATAATAAATCGAATTCATTTCGTAACATTTGAATTACCGTGTGTATATTATCTCTTGGGGAACAAGAAACTCAATGCGTCAATGCGCAAGTAAGGAGACATGCGTGGGGCACAAAGTGCATTATGTGGACCATCTTCATATTTAGAGAAAATAAGTGTTGCATGCAAACAAAGTCCTTCGTTAAGATGGTTGTAGGTATTAAGTTTAAGCCTGCTAAATCAGCGTTGTACAGCAATACTATTTACACCAAAGGTTAAGTCATAAAAACGATCGATAATTCAAAAGAATAAGTTCTAGCATGGATCAAACATGCGGAATGCTCAATTCACACTTCTTGTAAAATTGGAGGATACGTGAAATTTCGAGATCAATTTTATCTCTATTTTTAAGGAAAGTTGTTTATTTCAAGTATCCTTAACTTATACCCAGGAATTTGAAGTTTTGGTTTTAAAAGTGGAGGAAACCAACTAACCTTAACCCTTACAATACAACTAAAAATAACTTATTTCATACATGAAGTAAACCTCTGTTTACTTATTAATGAAAGAAAAGAGAAAAAGAAGGAACCATTATTTCTAAAAACATTCTTTTCAACTTACCGCTGACTGAAAACAATAGTAGCGACTGAAAACAATTGTTAAGAAGAAAACAGTTAGTCCTGATAAAAACTTTTTCTTGACAAGACATTACTACTTATTGCATTTTAGTATGGATTACAATTTAGTTATAATTATCATAACCTTTTCAATGCTAAAGCTACTTGGCTAGATAATCTGGGTAGCAGTATACATGCTTATGTTAATCGCATACAAAATTACTCACACAAGACATCTGTGTGTACGCAGAAATGCACGTCATTTTAGGTAAAGCTTAAAAGTAAGTAATAACAAGTAGCACCCATTTCCGTATAGAAAAATGGTTCTAACTTTGTTTCAGGTTTGCACTTCACTTCAGTTTGAAGTCACTCATAACTGAATGAAACACAAAAAGACAAAGCGTAACTTTGTACTTATTAAAACTGATCCCTACATGCAGTTAAATGGCAGTGAACTAAATGCAACCAACGAGGCAAACATCAAGTTCTTTCTAAAATGGTTTTTAAAATAGTTTGCAAAGTGGGTGCCCTGTGCATTTCTGTCACAACAACGCAGTTGAACAAATACATGATGTTCACAATCATTTTGTTAATCACACAAATTCACCGATCAATTTTTTTCAGGGAAGATCGAATTGATAATGATGAAAAACCTTAGGCTAGGTTAAACCTTACACCAGGTCAAACCCTACGCTTGGTTTCCCCTACAAAACATTAAGTTATACCTCACTTATACCTTCACTGTAAAAACTTGATTTTGCATGAC